TTTGTCTTTTTGAGACAGGGTCTCCCTGTAGCCCCAGCTGTCCTGGAACTCACTATGTAGACCAGGCTGGCCTTGAACTCACAAAGATCCGCCTGCCTCTGCCTCCCGAGTGATGGGATTAAAGGCGTGTGCCAACACGCCCGGCCTCACAAGTATTTTTTTACTATGAAGGATGAAAAGAGAGAAGTCTGAATTTACAAGGAAAGTTACTATTTAACAGAAGTAAAGCATTTATACCAGCTGTTATTAAAGCCAACAAAAACATAGGGGTATATGGTGACGTTAGAACAATTTAGCTACTCTAGAAAAATATAACTGCATAGAAAAATTACAAACTAAGTGATCCATTCACAGTTTCTACATTATGTTCTCACTGTACATTGATTTAGACTCTATGTAGAAAAATATCTTTGGCTGGCAAGGGAGAAGCAACGAAGTGTTCCCCTTAAATCTAGGCATCTGTTCTGTGCTGTCATGACTGATGTAAAACAAGGTGCTTTATAACTGAACTGCAGCAAGGCAAATATTCCCTTCAGTGATTTCTAATCCAAGAGGAGCCTTAGAGTTCCTCAGCTGCAATCCAAGGGAATGAAGAGTCACGGCATTTGAACTTCTATCTCCACATCCACAGAGAGCCAGAAAGGCAGCCTCTCTCGAGAACATCCAAGCCTGTATGAAATCCTACTAAATGGCAGGAAGGCTGCGTCTCTGCTGAGGGGTCAGCTCAGGGTGCCACACATCCACTATGAAAATCAGCCGGAAAGATGAGGCATCCTGCCACACCTCGTGCTCAAACGAGTCATCAAAGATGAGCACCTTGCCTTCTTCCCAGGTCCTAGAAAAGAAAAACTCAGATTTGTTAGAACATGTGGCATTTCTAAGTCACGTTACAGTTACACCCGAATAAAGAATCAACCTGACTCCCAGCATTTAAGGCCAAAAATGGATCTTAACTCTGAGGAACCTGTTCCTCCAGATGTCTCTGAGAACTGTGCTCTCAAGGCAGGTTTCATTCATACTTTTATTTAACCAGTATCTCCAGCATCCAGTGAGGAAGTTGAAGCTAAAATCCACTCCCATCTCATCAGAGAATCATGCCCTTTGATCCCTAGGCCAAAATATCTCTCTCTCACACACACACACACACACACACACACACACACACACACACACACACACATCAAGGGGATTTCTCAATCAATTTCAATGAGAATATCATTGCTTTGGTATGTTAAACAAGTACACCCACATTCAAAGGGGGTTCCTGAAGGATTACCATCATATGCCCAGGTCACAAAAGGAGTGCATGGCTCAGTGAGCTTGTTTATATTATAAATAGCAGCTTTTGGTCAAGGCTAAGAAAAAGTCACTAGTTTAGATTCTGTCCATAGTGTATAAGTCATTCCTCCAGGAAAGGCTTTTGGGAGTTTCAGATGCCCGAGGTGGTCTTCTGTCCACACTCAGGATGCCCCTTTATGGCTGCCTTTGGGAAATAACCAAAACACTAAGCCCGAAAACAGTCTTCTTTTGATGATTAAGAACGAATTTCCGATTATTAGGAACATCACTTTTCCTACCCAGTACTAAAGATATGCAAAGGACAGGAGCTGGTGATGGGGCACACTGATAGTGTTTCATGTCCTCCATCTAGCTGGAACCCTACCCTAAAGAGGCTTGTTTAGCTGGGCAAGTGAACAAAGGTACGCCCTGGTAGCTCCAGCACGGACGAACTTCCAGGTCAATGAATCCACAGCTGTCCTCCCTGATGTGTGTGTGGTGAGGACTTGAATTCCAATCCCTGGAACCCACATAGACAGATGCACAGTGTGAACATATATACTTCCAGTGTCCCTATGGAGAGATGGAAGGTAGAGAGAGAGGAATGCGTGGCAGCTCCTGGCCAGCCAGCCTGAGGTTGTGTGCAGTGGTACAAAAGAGACTCTATCTCAAACAAGGTGGAGAGGACCAGACTGTCCTCTAACTTTCACACACTTGCAATGACACATGTATTCCTGCATTCACAGACAGACATACAAAAATAAAAGACTTGTTCATGTTGTAGCATGTCAGAATTTCTTTCTTTTTCAAGGCTGAGTAATTCTACTGCATGCTTAGACCAAGTTCTGTTTATCCACTCTTCCTCTAATGAACATTTGGGTTGCTCTCACCGTTGGGCTTTTGTGAGCAGGGTACTGTCTTTCCTTTTAGGTACTTGTCAACCTTTTCTTTTACCTGAACTGTAGCTCAGTCCCTGACACCCACCAACATTGTTTAATCTCTCTAAAGATGACAGGAAAATGACCATCTATGTGTTTAAGATGTGAGTCATTTCTGTTTTAGGGGAGGGGGATTTATTTGTTTATTTAGTTATTGCTGTTGTTTTGGTTTGTTCTTAGCTTTCGTGTCTTTTCAAGTTTGGTTTCATACGGTAATGAATGTTTGTTTTGTGATTTGCTCACGAGTCTAAGTTTCTGTCCTTTGAGACCCTTGGGGGAATGCTACATCTGAGGAACTGTATAAAATAGCTAAACAATACATTTGCTGAATGCAACACTAGGCTAAGAGTGAGTGGCATACAGCAGGGAGAACGGGCAGGTGGGTGGCAGAGAGAGGTCTGGCTCATCAAACTTTATTGCAAATATTAGTTACTTTATCAATTAATTAACTTAGAAATTTTAGTGTCAGATTCCTCCAAAATGCCAGTTGCTCTTCTCCAGATTGATTCTGCCTCCCCTAAAACTCCTCCAATCCCCTCCCCACAACATTTGGCAATGATTGGAAACTTTTCTCATCGTCTCAAGTCATGTGGGGCATAGTACTGCCCTCTAGTGGGTGGAGGACAGAGATGCTGCTGAACATCAGTACACAGATCATCTGGAGCAGGTGTCCGTGGTGCCAACGTGGAGAAGCTCTGCAGTTATTCAACTCATATTTATTAATCCGCTAGTAGGGGACATAAAAGGCAGCAGTCATGTCCTAATGATAGGATGATGACATCATGTTGGCAATGCTTACCCTATATTGCAACTCTTTGTTAATGTACAATATAAAATTCTAAATGCTTAAGGAGAATTCAAAATTCTAGTGAAAATTTCATTTAATAAATAATGGCAATGGCATATTAGTATGTATCTTAACATCAATACCTGTTTTACAAATAAAGGAGCATTGATTTAGCTTGCAAGTTTTGGATTAGAAAGACATTGTATAACTGCCGCCTGCATATTTCTCCCTTGGTGCTTTGTTTAGACTACCATTATATTTAGCATTTGGTTCCTATACAACTCGTATGAGGTACTGCTGAAGGTCCCTCTATAGGGTGTTTTGAAGCATTTATTTAAAATATTCCATGAATAACCCACTTACATAGTAGATGAAGCTAAGAATATAAACAAGATTAATTCCCAATCTGCCCATTTTTCTAAGCTAGAATACTATTTAGGAAATACCTAATTTGGTTTTCTGGTTGCTGGCTTTAAGTAAAGAATCACTTCTTCAGGAAATGAAACCTCGACAAATGGACTGAGCTGAAAAGAAAATCATTTGGATCCTGTGCCAGATGTCATCCTAAGAGGTGTAGAGATGCTTTGAGCTCTGACTGCAGTAACTTTTACCCACTGAACCATCTCCCTAGCCCAACATGGATGAATCTGGAGGGTATATGCTAAGTGAAACAAGCCACTCCCTAAAGGCCAGATACTGTGTGATTCTGCTCATATGAGAGTCTACTACAGTTGAGCTCATAGAAACAGAAAGTGGAATGGGGGTTGTTGGGCTGGGATGGGGAGAGGGTAGAAGCTAAGTGTTTTAACAGAGTTCTAGTCTTACAAGATAAAAGTCTGGAGATAGGTGGTGGTGATGGCTGTACAATGTGAGTGATCTTAATGCCAATAAACCATACTCTTAAAAATAGTTAATATGGTTAACTTTATGATTTTTTTTATCATGACAAAAAATGGAAAGGCAAAGAGGGCATGTGACAGAGAGTGGAGAAGCACGGGACCACAGTGGGAAGGCCATGGTCTTTAAGGGGAGACAAAGAAAACTTTTCAGCTCAGCATTTATCATATATGTGACCTGGAACAAACTACTGATGCTTATTTATTAAAGATGAGAAGGTCCTGATGAATTTATTACAAAAACAAACTACCATGAATCACTAATGCATTAATACACTAACCAAACTGAACATCCTAGCCTAGTTATCTGTGTACATGAGTTCTGAATGCTAACATTAGCCTACAGCTGAGCAAAATTATCTAACGAAAGGCCTACTGTACACTAACATGTAGAGTTATTAATGTAATTTATTGGATAGCTTTATCCAACAAATTCCAGCCACACAGTATCCTACGGAATCTTGGCTGGTTTCCCTCAGGATGGAGTGGCTGACTGCAGCTGGGCTGCAGCCTCACTGGAGAGGATTGTACCATGAACTGCTGGCCCAGGAAAAGGTCGGCTACCAAAACTCAAAATGCAGTTTCTATCAAATTGTTTATCATTTTTGCATAATAATTAGATCTAAATGCCATAAGGAGAACTTTGTTAAATTGGGGATCACCTGTGCTTATTAGCATCGCTGAGTCTGAATTTTCACCTGCAGAGTTGATATGAGGCTATGGTTGACATTTGACTTCATCATCGACATTGCAAAACACAGAAAGGAAGAAAACAGAAACCATGAAAGACAAGAGGCAAAAATGTTGGAAAATGGTATAATGTTACCAAGAATGACCTTGACATCACTCCTTATTTGACTTCATTTGAGAAAAATAAAAAATTCCAAGGGCTTGAGAGATCAAAAGTCTCTACTGATAATATGAAGTGTACAGTGGACGGAAATGACCAATGGCTTTTGAAGTTCTTTGAGTATCAGGGAGTATGGAAGCTACTTAAAATTCTGCAAATAATTCAAATAAAGAACAACATTCTTGGTTGTACAAAATGACATTTTTCACTAGATTCTGACTTAAATCTTAGACTTAATAATGTTTAAAAAATCTTAAACATCAGCGTTAACTTATGTTCCTTATGAATTAGGAAGAGTTATTTATGTCGGAACATACTGACCATTGACTACTGCATATAAGACCAGAACTTCTGAGACACTGACTTATGGCTTTTCAGATATATTGAGTCAAATATGGATCAGGTGTGTCCAGCCTATGGCTTCAGGGGCACATGTGCCCTGGGATAGTTGTGAATGGAACCCAACACAAAACCTTTTCTGTTTTGTTTTGTTTTTGTTTTTTGAGGCAGGGTCTCCTTGTAGCCCCAGCTGGCCTGGAACTCACTCCTGAGTACTGGGATTAAAAGCATGCGCCACTGCCTGGCTTTCATGATAAAATCGTAAACATACTTAACACATGATGAGTTTTTTTTTGTTGTTGTTGTTTTTGTAATTTGAGCACATGGTCTTTGGACTTGAACTTTATACATAACAATGTGGTATCGCTACAGAAACACCTGGACCACTGATTACCCAATTTTTAAAACATAAAATCTAGAGGCATTTCCAATGGTTGTACAATTGATTTTTCTTCAAAAAAATTTTTTTTAAAAGTGTGTGTGTGTGTGTGTGTGTGTGTGTGTGTGTACATGCATAAGCATGCCATAGAATGCATGTGGAGTTGAAGGACAACGTGTTGGAGGCGTTTCTCCCCTTCCACTATGTGGGTTCTAAGGATTGAACCTAGGCTTTTGGACTTGGCCCCACACATCTTTACCCACTGATTCATCTCACTAGCCCTTGATGGGTTTTTCTAAGGCCTTAAAGTCTGAGGAACTTATGGAGTATGATCATGAGTTCAAGACTAGAATGAATGGTCTACAAGG